GGTTATGACCTCACAATAATTTGTTCCAGTCAATATGCAACACACAATGTATAACACAATATAAATTAACTGGTTAACAACTACAACTCTCTTGTCTTTAGGTAGCTTTGACCTGATGTCAAAATCTACAATGTCATATACATACATTTAAGCATAATTGCTGAAAACGACATGCAGGGTTTTAGTTTGCTCTTGTTACATCATGGCTGTATTTGATGACTCATCATGCTATAATTTTTCTTGGCCAAATTGTACCAGGTAAATACACATTTAGGTATGTCCATTAACAGTGTGGCTAAACTGCTCTACATGTAATGAGATGCAAACAAATAAAAATATATTTTATTTCTTATTTTTTATTCATTTCATTTTAGGTATTATGGAAGTTATTGCATATTTTCATGGGCAAAGCAATCTTATTAGATTTTATGTACAAGCAGCCATGTTGGGTTTTACTCAAAATCTAATATCATTGAGTGTTATGCTGGGAAAATAGAGCAAAAATGATAAAGAATTGCATTTTTTGTTTCTTCTTAACAATTTTAAAATAGAATACCCACTATTGTTTGTTTTTATTAAACGTCAGGACGACTTAAACACTGGTTTAATGTCTTGCTTTTTTAATTTTCATTTGAAGCAATGCATTAAATGGTCAATCAATTATATGCAACAGCTCCCCTCATATGAAAAGGATGGTATTAACACTACAGAGACGTCACGACACAACACACGAGCCACAAAATCCTCCTATTTATCATAGCAACATTGCACCTGAGGGGAAAGCTGAGCCGTTATCACCTTTCACCCCCACAGTTGGAATGATACCTTGGGGAGTGCTGCTGACTGTATGGAGGCTGTGAGTGGCAAACCTTTGTGGCTGCAAACTGGGAAGTGGAAAAAAACAAAACAAAACAAAACATGGGAATCTGGGGAGGAGCAACAGGCTGTGATGGGAGAGAACAGAAACTAGAGACAAGAGAGGCAGCAGTGTTTTCCCTCTGGATCAGCCACGATCCAGCAACATTTATTGTTTTTTTTTTCCTTTTGAAACTCTCACTCTTGTTTCAATCTTATAGAAATCCTGAGAAAATCTGTACTTTATCCAAGTAAAGCTCAGGTTGATAAAGCGCCAAAGGCCGAACACTACACTCCTCCTGGCGAGCTCTTTCACCAAATCCAGTGAGGATAATCTGTCCTCTCTCTGCCTTGTTGGGTTTCATATTTGATAACCGTCACGTTGTCTCAAACACTGGACAATAGGCTGAAGCTGTGAGAATAAAACAAGGCCCTTGGTGTAATGAAAGCAAAAGATGGGGTTTTGTTTTCTTCTACTGGGTCAGACTCTCTCCTTTCTTAACACGATAGAGTCTAATGACAAGGAGGGAGAACAGGAGGAACAGACACGCATTCAGTATAAAAGACACTCAAGAGCTCTGAAACTTTTCCTCATGTGTACAATCGCACTTGTGTGTGTTTGTGTGTGAATATTGGACTTGAATGAATTAAACTGTGGACAAGGTGAGAATTTATTTATTTATTTATTAATTAAATAATTAAAACTTGGTAGTTTTTAGCTGTGAGACTAACAGTCATGTAGAAATGTTGGGTTTTTGTATGTTTAATGTTTTACTTTTCAGTTAAAAACTAGAAAGAAACACTTGAGCAAATTTGTATTCCAATTATTACATACACAACAAAAAGCAAAGCTATGTACTTCAAGTTGTTTTCAGATCTTGGGTGATGTTTACCATCTTTGGGGAGCAGAACTTTCAGCCGCTCTGCTCCCCAACTCTGGAACTCACCACCCCACGGATTACGCTATAAAACCTCTCTCTCCCTGTTTAAGACTGACCTGAAGACACATCTCAGATTAGCTTACTGTTAACTCCAATTGTACCTCAATATATGACTGTTTTGTAGTCCTCATTTCTGTTTCTCCCCCACAACCCCATTGTTCAACTTATCTATTTTTTGTATTTCTTTACATGACTGTTCTGTACTCCTCATTTCTATGTTTCTGCCGCACTACCTTATCACTCTATGTGTTTACAGTTGTTTCTTTTCTATTGTACAGTGTCCTTGGGTGTCCTGAAAGGCACTTTATAAATAAAATGCATTATTATTG